CTTGTAAAATCAAGCATAAATATATTAAACTAGGTGCCTTTAGCCTGTCATAATTGTAAATCTGGTAAAGCTCATGCTTACTTTAAAATTTTTTTAAATTACTTTTTAATGTTTTCCTTTAGTTATTCTCTAAGAGGTTCAAGTCTGCTGCCATGCTGGCCGTCTTCGCTGTGTCTGCTATCGTGCACGAGTACGCCTTGGCTGTTTGCTTGAGCTTTTTCTATCCCGTGCTCTTCGTGCTCTTCATGTTCTTTGGAAGTAAGTATCTTGGCATGCTGTGAGTTATGGGGATTATGCTAAAAGAGAAAATCAGACAGAAAAGAAATCATAAAATCAATGTAGAAAACCTAGATAGTAGTAATACCATTTCAAGGTAGTGTTTATCGGATGGTTAGAATATTGACTTTGAGTAATTATACACAGCTGTCTCAAGATGCTTACACTTCGAATTAAGGAAATGAACTAGGTAACCTTGTAAAGACCATTAATAACACTGATTTGGTAGGTCATGAAGACTATATAAACAGCTTCCCTGTTCATAAATACTGTCAGTATACACCCCTTGGAAAACTGACCATTTTTTGGTCCGTTTGTGGAGAGGGACAAGTTAGAATATGAATAATTTCATGAAATATATTCAGCTGTCATGAATACTGTTGATTTCCTATTAATTACCGATTAATACATTACCACAATGAAACTTCATTTTTATTTATACAACTAGTGATCAGAATAAAATATATATATAAACAGTTGTTGCTCACTGTGATTATTAAATGATGACAGCAGATTATCTGAGGGCCCGTATCTCCTGATAGATTGTTTTGATAACTGTATTTTTTTTGTTGTCTTCCTAACTCTAGTGGCTTTCAACTTCATTGTAAATGATAGTCGGAAAAGGCCGATTTGGAATGTTCTGATGTGGACATCTCTTTTCTTGGGTATTGGAGTTTTGCTGTGCTTTTATTCTCAAGAGTGGTATGCACGTCAGCGCTGTCCTCTGAAAAATGTGAGTTACCAATCTGATTGGCATGCAAAAGTGACCTGTTTTGTCCCCTGATGGTGAGAGGTGGTGGGCAATGTTAAGGAGGAGAATAATGGTGGAGATTGTGATGAATTAGTGTCACTAAAGTGAGGGGAATATGGAGTAAAAGCATTAGTTTATCTGCTTTTACTGTACTGTCCTTGAAATTCTTTCTTTGGGTTTCTTCACATTTAACTCTCCTAGTTCTTGGCTTTCTTTTTTCTTTTACTGCTTTTTCTTTAGTCCCTTCTAATTTTCTGTCTCCTGAAAATGAGTATTCTCCAAGGTATTGCCAGTGGCATGTGTGTCCCTGTCACTACCACCTAAACATAGGTATTTTTTTACCTCTTTCTTCCCAAAGTAATAAACTCTTGTAAAAATGTCGGACAACACTGATATGCCTAGGATTCCATTATCCTTGATTCCTATTTTTTTGTTTTTTTTTTCTTTTTCGTAGTTATGGTCAGGTTTCATTTATTCTTAGGGCTTTATTTTTTA